ACTGTAATCCACAAAATCTCTCTTTTAAGAGAAAGTAGACACATTTGTGACAAGAGGGCTAGGCTTATTACCTTGCCCGAATTGAATCTGGTTAGTTTAGCAAGGAAGTTGGGTCAATTTTGATTTATTTGGATCCAATCCGGGGTCAATTTTGATTTATTTGGATCCAACCCGAAGCCCTAGATTTAGGGCACATTTTTCTAAAAGAAAATGATTTGGGGAAAAAATCATATTTTATGTGTATTGTTTACACCAATTCAAAATTCAGGTAGATAATTTAAAAATTCAAGTATATATATATATAATTAAAAATATTTATTAATTAATGATCACAGATATATAAATAAACCCAACCCGATCAACCCAAACCAACACAATCGGTTTGGGTTGGTTTTTTAAGTTTAATTGGGTTGGATTGGGTTGAAAAAATATTTTTGAGGTTGGGTTTCGGGTTATAATTTAAAACCCAACCCAACCCAACCCAACCCGATGAATTAAAAAAAAATATATTTAAGATGAAAAAAAAACCTAAATAAAAACAATAGTAAAGATATGAAAATGACTTAAAATTTATAAACGTCCATTTTTTTTTATATATATAGATTGACTCCTATAAACATAATTTACAAATGAAATGTTATTTCATAATAAAGTAAAAATTAAGAAGATGATAATGAAATGAATAAATCCCAAAAAATTGTAATTAAAAAAAATATAATAATAATGAATACTTCATAAATTTTAAACTTATTTATACATCATTTTTCAAAAAGAATTTCTTACATAAGTATTTAAAAAAAAAAAATCAGAGATTTTCAAATAATTTCAAACTTTAAAAATTTATCTAAATTTAACAACAATATAATCGAATCCAACTTTAATTGGACCGAAGCCCAAACCGACCAACCCAACCCAACCCAAACTTGATCGGGTTGGGTTGGGTTGGGTTTAAACCATTAATTGGATTGGGTTGGGTTTATTTTAAATAAAACTGACCATGTTGGGTTGGGGAAAAAATCGACCCGACCCAACCCATGCCCACCCCTAGTCACGGATACATAAATAAAGGTCACGATTAATTTATTGGTTACATATTATCGAATTAATTAGTTACAGATTATTTCGAGGTCACAAATAAAAAAAATTATTAGTCACAGTTTATCTCAAGGTCACAAATCGAAAATTTTATAAGTCATAGTTTATTTTATCGATCACAAATCAAAAAATATTATAACAATTCATTTGTCGGTCACAAATTTTTAAATTAATTGATCAAAAAATATTTTTCAGTCATATGTTATCAAATTTTTAGGTCATGATTAAATAATTGGTTACGTATCACAGTGACAACACTACTGCCAATTATGACCACCATCTCCCTGCGACAGCCGCCACCACTACACCACCAACACCACCACCATTGTCGATTTTCGCCATCGCCTTCGTCGACCGACACCACCATCGTCAACACCTCCAATCACCACCACAACCTCACACTCACGCGCAGCACCACTACCACCAGCAAAACAAACCCCAAAACTACTCTACAACCACCACAAAATCAAATTCATGGTTTAAGACCATCGTCACCACCACCATTTTTGCAACACTACAGTCATCACACGACAACAACACCACCATCGCACACACCACCACAAACAGATCACACCAACCCGTCAAACTCACCACTACCACCTGTAACCTACCTAGATCGACTGCACCACCATCATCGTCGTCGACTGCCACCATCACCATCATCATCACCACCACCACCACCATCACCATCACCATCACCACCACCACCACCACCAACAAAAGTCGCCGCCAGATCCACCATTCTCAGTCTTTATTCTCCTCTCCCTCTCTTGTTGTCGAAGCCTTGCAGCGCAGCTTCGAAGTCATGGTTGCCACAACTGCGTCGTTTGCAGCGAGGTGATGCTACGCGCATTGGTGCCTTGCTGGTGGCATTGCTACTGCTAGAATTCGAAACGCTATCACCCACGACAAATAGGCTGGGTTTGTGTCGCCGTGGTATAATGCTGTAGTCACTATCGACGAGGCGCTGTCTCCAATTTTGACGGTGATTTGATAGTAAACGAAAAAGAAGAGAGAAGGGAGAGTTGAGAGATAAGAAAGATGCTAGAGCGAGAATGTGCAAAATTAGGGTTTGGAAATTGAGAATTGGGTGAATATTTAATATTTAAATTATTAAATCAATACATAATTTTTGCATGATGAAATTTCAATCCTGATTTTTGAATTGTGATGCTTAAACCCCTAGTTTGGTGTAATTTTCTCAAATGATTTTTCATGTACTAAAATACCCATGAAATCAATAATTATTTTTCGTGTAATGACATACCCATGAAATCAATAATCCAAACGTTGGGTTGATTTGGGCTGGTTTCATGGGTGGTCGGTTCGACTTTCATATTGGAATTTTACCTAATCGGACCCACGCCAATGCCTACCACTAGTTAGAATGCTAAGATGACGGAGACAAATTCTATTGTTCCTGTAGTTAATCCATATCTTTACCTAATAATTCTGACTTTACCTCAAATTCTTCTTGGTTCAAGACAAATCCACAAATGTAAAATAATAATCAATTTGGTACTTGTTCATCATAGTTTAATGGAAAGATAGTTGACAAAATTACAATTTGACATTGTAAATGAAGGCTAAGAAGGTTGACATAATTACAACAACTCGTATTAAATGTCTATTCATGCTAGTTGTCACTATATAAATTTCCAATTTTAACTACTAAAAAATTTGTCATAAAATTTGAATTGTTTTGTTGACAAATGGTGATCGAGAAAGTTTTCAAGGCGAAGGTTGACATAATTACAACAACTCGTATTAAATGTCTATTCATGCTAGTTGTCACTATATAAATTTCCAATTTTAACTACTAAAAAATTTGAATTGTTTTGTTGACAAATGGTGATCGAGAAAGTTTTCAAGGTAAAAATTTTATCGTCAAATGTGAAAGTTTTCTTTAATATCGTCTTTATACTACCAAATATAAAAGAGAAAAAGATTCTTAACTAGGCAGCTAGGGCTACATAATTTGAGTTAAATTTAATATCGTGAAATTTTGAATGAGCTTCAAATGCTGAATAAGTTTCAGAATAATGAGCAAGTTTAGAAGTTATCCGAATCTTTAGAATTCTCAGATTTTATGGTATGTTTGATTTGAAGATAAATATAATTGAACAAAACTATGAAAGAGAGCCATTTATAGTTCATAGTATTTAATTCTGTCCAATTAATATACCCCATAACTTGTAGCTAATGAAGTCAAAGTGAGCATAACCAATCAAACTTAGAATTGATCGCAAAATGAAATGAAATTCAAAACAATAAGATCATTTCATGACGAAGAAAAGTGTAATGATGGACAAAGAAAAATGTAATGATAGACGTAGCCAACTAACGAAAATACAACAAATTGAACCTAATCAGAAAATTTGGATCGAATCAAATGCCCCTAATTGGACCGTATTGTACCAATAATCTCTACCATCAACAACAAACTCAATGAACAACACTACTTTCGATCTAAACCGATGATATTATGATACCTATCCGATTCTCTTTCCTAAAATTTAGACCACAAGGCAGCAACAAGTTTACAAGCAAACGCAGCTCAATGAAGGGGTGCACGTGCCCATCTTTGAATACATTTTGTCCTTTAGTACAGTTGCAAATTCTTGGATGTATTTTTGAGTGGCTGATTATAGGATATTTGAATATGAATGTTGTGACTGGTTAGGACAAGATAACTCGAAACGTCGTCGTCGTAATAAAGAGAAATAGTTCCACTCTTCAAATTTCGATGTACCAAGACAAAATTCCAGAAATTGAAGAATATCGGTCAAAACAAACTTTTGTATTTGTCTATTATACTCCTTTTGAAAGATAACTCCATGTTTCATTTTCAGTTGTGATGGATGTAATTTAAATACCCTAACTCTTATTAAAATAATAATAATAATTTATAATTAAAACTTAAATTGGACAAATTATAATTTGATTATTCCCGTCAATTTTGCTATGAGGTCATTAAAGAATGAAAACCCTAATATGAGATCTTGCTTTTGTTAATAGAATTTCGAAATCGTCTATTTAAAAGTTTAAATTATTAAAGAACGAAAGAGTTTACTTACATATTATATCACAACTCTCAGTATTATTAATTAGTTCGAAGTAGTTTAAGGAATAAGTAGCACGATTAGTTTTCTAGCTCTCGAAATATATTTTTTTTAATTTTAAATAAGAAAAAACAAATTATTTGAAGTTACTTGAATGGGATGACTATGACTATATTATTTCATATTCTCATTAATATTAGATATTCATCAAATAATATGATGCATAATTTAGATATATTCAAACCTAATCCCCTACAAGTACAACCACTTTTTTTGTGGACACAAGTACAAAAAACTTTGGTGGTAGCGTAATGAAATGTAATTATATGATGAAGACACTTCCCTTCATATTATGATTTGTTCACTTGAAAGCTGCTTAATCGAAAAACAATCGATAAATTTAAAGAAGAGATTAGTTCAACGAGTTTGCTATATACGCTATTCTAGACATGATTTAAAAAATGGAAAAAGAAAAAAAGAAGAAGCAAATTTACCGATTATCCTATCTAGTACGATATTCTTCGGATATACCGCTTTAAATATGTAACAATTAAAGATAAAATTTTAATTTTCTTTCTCATCTCCGTTATGCCTAGTATACCGAACGGTCCAAATATGTCATCAATGTAATTACATTATACTTTTTATTTTTTATTCCCTAAATATATGGGCTGTATTACTCCCAAATGTGATGACAAATTGGTTGCTGACTTGCAATTTACAATTTTATATGTTTATTTTTTCAGAAACGACAAATTTATTCTGTAGTGCTTATATTATAAAACTCCCTTATTAGGTTTATATATATATATATATATATATATATAATTTAGCATTCTCAGAAGGATCTTCATTTATTCTTGTGTCCAACTACCTCAACCTTCTCTCTCTCTAGAAAAAAAAATGAGCAGTTTGAGCATGGTGGAGGCAAAGCTTCCGGCGGGGTTTAGGTTCCATCCAAGAGATGATGAACTCATATGTGATTACTTGATGAAATGGGTGTCCACAGGAGGTGGCGGTGGTTGTGGCGGCACCGCTGCTGGACATGGCCAGCTTCCTCTTCTAATCGAAGTTGACCTCAACAAGTGTGAACCTTGGGACGTTCCAGGTTAGTACTCCATGTAAATGTTCTAAATTTGTAAATTGCAATCAAAATTTGTATGTTATCCTATTTAGTATAAGTCGAACCAAGTCAAGTCGAGCATGAAAAAAGTTGTCTTTATTCATCTAGCACTTCGGTGGCACTGAATATGATGTTGATCGAGACTATATATTGGCGAAGTCTATTCAAAACACAAATTGGAAAAATCTATAAATAATAAGTTTTGCTTAACTATCTGTTTTTATGTACTTGAGCCATTTCACCACTCAAGGGAAAGCCACAAATTCATCCTAAAATTGGTCTATGGATCAAAATTTGTGATCTTAATTAAATTTGTCAAGGCCTATGAATTTTCATACTTTTAGTCATATATAAGTAAATAATTCTACCTTTTCGAAGGACAAAAAATCTTTTCATTTCTTTGATATTTGTCACTTTAGTTTCTAGAAATATATAAACTGAAAGCTATTTATCTTGAAAATAGTAATATTCGATTATGTTCTCTGCATGTGTTGCATTTATAAAATGGGAGAGTTTTATACAAGAATTAAATCATTTGTACTTATTTGTTGACACTTTGGGTTATTCGACCCTACCACTCATCTCACATGAGGTCGGGTCCCATGTAGGGGTCATGACGTGGGTCTGACCCCCACGTGAGAGGAGAAGGTGGGTCTGAGTAAATCAAAGTGTGACCAAATAAGTACAAGTAACATAACCCTTTATACAAAATATACATAAATGTAGAAATAATAAAATTAGTGGTTTTTAGACACAACTTTTTGAAAAAAAAAATTGTCGCTAGTATTCAATAAAAGTTGATGAAATATATAGTTAAAAAATTGATATTTATAATCAAAAATTAATTGTTGACATTGATATCAACTGGAACTTTTTAAGCGTGCCCTAGAAACGCACTTATACATAAAAATATTCCTCAACCATCTTTTGCAAATTCTCATTCATCCACCTTTTTGAATAAATTGACGTTCTTTGTCCTAACCAAAAGATGTCAAGGCCATTTGAGAAAATAATTCAATTAAATCTGATCAAACGTCGTATCACGCATGAACACCTTGCACCTAATGTCAACTACACATGTGTATGTATAATTAATAGTCCCTGCTCCGTCATAACTGAATTTTGGAGAAAATATATTTTTGGTTTGAAAGTTATAATTTTTTTTGAATTAATGTGTAATATTATTTATTTGGAGAGTGTGTACTTGAATATAAGAAAGAGAAAGATAATTTTTTATTTTTTATTTTTGGAACCAGAACAGGGGCTATTATGTTAAATCGAACAAGAAAATAAACAAATATTTCACTTACTTCTCTTTTGTAATCTACACATTTAGCCCATGTTTTACTAATATTTTGATTTTAATCTCTTTGTTCAATTTATACAATGTCATTTGAATCTGATCCTATTACAATTATATGAAGTCTTAGCCTGTCGTCGTCTTCCTATTTTATTTTATTTTTTTTGGAATAATTTTTTTTCCTTTTTTCATTAAAATATTGCTGAAAAACTTGGACTTCTAGAATTTCCCAATTCCTGTAATTACCACCTTATATTATCTCTCAATTATGAATTCATTGCACTGTTGGAGATTTCGACAGTTTTGCCCATATATAATTATTGCACTCACTCAGCTATCGTGGGTGAGTCACCTCGGGGGCCCAAACCTTTTTGGAGTATTGTCCACGTGTTTGTTTCCTATAAGTCTTCATCACCTGCTAGCGTCATTCTGCTATCAAAATTGACATCATCAAATCCTGCATCTTCCGCAAATCACTTTTTAATCTTTTTCACGATCTTCTAAATCTTCATTAGTTAATTATTAAAAACAATCGTTATTCCTTACTTATATCAGTAAAATAAGCAAATTTTCTTGGAAAATATTGTCCCGAGCAAGTTATCGAATTCATTTTTATCAAAGATAACGATGGTAAAATGTGAGCTAACATTTTCGTCCCCACTCATTTATGAAAGGGAGACGTGTAACTACTTTAATGAATGAATTTGACTTTCAGATAATGCATTTAGAACTTGTGTTAGGAACTTGAATATGAGTCTAATTATAATTCCATTTTACAGAAGAAGCATGTGTTGGAGGCAAGGATTGGTACTTTTACAGCCAACGTGACAGAAAATATGCAACTGGGTTAAGAACAAATCGAGCTACAGTTTCTGGATATTGGAAGGCCACCGGGAAGGACAGGGCGATATTTCGAAAGAGTACCCTAGTCGGGATGAGAAAGACTTTGGTATTCTACGAGGGTCGAGCACCCAAAGGAAGAAAGACAAGTTGGGTTATGCACGAATTTCGACTCGAAGGACCCCTTGCCCCTCCAAAATTAATTTCTCCCATCACGGTATGATATCCATAATCTACCCTCTCTCACGTGTTAATAATTAATTAGGTCAATAATTATAATTGCGTTACTCTTTAATAGTTGAAATTTGACTAATTGTTATATACTAGTTTCATAATCTATCCGTCTCTAATGCAACTTGTCCAAATTATAGATGGTGAAAATTCTATACAAGATAGAAGAGTTTCTGAACATGTTTGGATAATTTATGAAAAAATTTTGTCTGGATCGAGACACCATCATGGGTCGTATAATATATTGATTATTTATTGTGTTGTATGATTATGCAGGTAGATTGGGTGTTATGCAAATTGTTCAATAAAAACAAATCAGAATTTTGTGCCAAACAAGAATTGGGAAGCATTAATTATGAATTTGATGATAATCGTAAGACAAATTCTTGGACTCTTCCACCATTGATGGAACCCTACATCTCCTTTGATCAAATTGATGAGCAAGTGTCCTGCTTCTCCATTTTAACCCCAAACCCTAATTTCTCAAACCTCGCCCACATGGATCAAGATTTGTCCACTCAAATCATGACAATTCTCCCAGATCAACTTGAAGTGCAAATTAATTCAAACATTTCTTGTGATGAAAATGAGGTGACTGATATTTTGAAGCATGTTTTCACGAGGGACACGACGAATAGGTCCCCGAGCTTTGGGGAAGGAAGTTCCGAGAGTTACTTATCTGAAGTTGGATTACAGCAGCCTTCAATGTGGAATTACTAATGATTTTTCAGATCTGGGATTTGCAAATTGCAAACTGTCATATACATTAGATTAAGGTAAATGGATATATGATTGGTCTGTCTAAGTTTAGCAATGTAAAACTGTACCCTATATATTGGTAAGTTTCAGATTTTAACTTACTTTTATTGAAGAAGATTGTCCCCTGAAAAATGTCAGAAAGTTTCTGCCAGAATAGTCACAATTTCTATAGACAATGTGTAATTCTTATATCCATATATATATATATATATGTTGTGACTTATGAGTAATGTACTTATGCATTTAGAGAGAGAGAGAGAGAGAGAGAAGCCACGATTTGATTATATTAAAAATTATATTTTTAGTAGATTTTAATATAAGTAGATAAAATATTGTGGATCTCATGAAACACATGATTCGAACGAGTTTGTAAAAAAAAAGAAAAAAAAAAAATTGCCAAACATAGACCAAATGTAGCAAGTAATGCTTAACTAATTACATGAATTAAATATTTGTCATTATATCATACGAGTAAGTTCAATAATCACTATATAAAACAAGAGTATTTACTATGGCAATTTGTCGTCATAAAAGATCACCAGAACAATTGCACTAACGTCGTTATAAAGTGTCATTTTTCTTGGAGCGACTCGTTTTATATATAATTAAATCATTCTGTAAATACTAAGAGTGTGTTTGATTGACATGAAAAATATCACCTAGAAAAGAAAATGTTTCCTATCTTTTGTGGAAAATAAAAACCATCTCTATCCAAGAAAAATATTTTCCTTAAAAATAAGGAAAATTAGGCATATATTCAAAAGTTGGAAAATGTTTTCCATGAAAAAAAGTGCAATCAAACACTTCGAGTAGGAATTTGAGTGGAAAACTGATATTTTTCATGAAAAATAAATGTAATCAAACACACCTTAAATATTTCTTACTAGGTATTAGCATAGTATGGACGATATGAAATCAACTGTTATTTTAACTTGTTTTATTTTCAGTGAAACTGATAGTTAGAGCTAGCATTAAATTTATTAACTTAGTTTGAATATAATTTAAATAATTCATTTTTCAACTTGCCGTTTTTTCCCTAATGTCAAGGATATGAAATTAAATAAATATATTTTCTTCATGATATTTATATTAATGTATAATAAAGCCAAACACTACACGACAATAAAAGAAACGCGCCTGTCTTGCATTATTATATGGCGACTTTCACTTTCATCTACTTAACTGAACAGGAAATTAGAAGACTATTATATAAAAATGGGGTGGGGTGGGGTGGGGG